GAACCCTTGGGGGGGGGGGGTCACCATCCAGGGGCTGAGATGCGAGAGCTTCCAGTAGTGACTCAGGCTCGCCCAGGAACTTCCAGACCTAACTGTCCCTGTTGCTGTTGAATCGCAGGGAATTGTCGTCCGGAGCAATTCCAGGCATGCGTGGCAGAAATCCCAGCTAAATGCAGTTCAATAAAAGGCATTAATTGTCTCACCTAACAAGCGGTCCAAAGCTGGCAGGGTTCCAGGTTGGTCCTGGGGTGTCGTGTTGTGAACAAGCTGCTTTCTGCCCATCTGGGTCCCCCGCCGCCAAGGCACAAGGGGACACCTGGTGAAAACAAGCAGACATCCTCCTGTGCGCTTTCCCTTCTCTTCCCCCCCCCCCTTTCCTTCCATCCGCCCCTCTCGTAGTTTTTCCTTTCCTCTCACTGTCCCAGTGACCACCGCGCCCCACCCTGCAGACCTCAGGCCCCACCGCCCAGAGCCGGCCACCTGGGTGCTGGTGCAGCAACAGTCACCTCCCAGTGCCATTGCCCCTTTTGGAAGTGCGCTGCTGGCCAGGACGGAGGGGCAGCTACCCGTCAGGCGGCCACAGCACCCACCACGTTTGCTGTCACTGAAAGTTCTGGAAGATACTGGATGGGCCGGGCAGCCACGTTGTGGCAGGATCCCTGCGTCCTCAGTGGGCTGCAGCTGCAGGGTCTCCCAAGCCACCACCCTGGTCCTCTGATGTTTGCTGACAACTTGGGCCTCTTCTGAGAGGTTTTCAAATGAGTAAGACACATCGCATGGGATTGCAGGGACAACTAATTATACTGAGAGTTATCAAAGTATTTTATAATGTGCGCTTTGTAATTCATTAAATAAGGCCTCATATCTAACAGCTACTGTAATTTCAAAGTAGGGATGAGCGTAAACAGTCTGAAAAGTCTGCAGTGGGATACGAAAATATCCCATTTTTTTATTGCTGACAAAGCTCTCAGTCTATGGGCTACATTCAGCTGGAGGTTCATGAAAATAAATGTCATTTTTTCCCAAGTCTCTGGACCCTCTGATTCTAAGAATCTTGGTGTGGATGACACCTGTGACCTCCATCTGTGATCTGGGACATCTCTAAGCATCAGTGTAAGAGGCAGAGCAGAGGAGAAGCTGTAGGTCCAGGAGGCCGCCAGGGGCTTGAGCTGACCTTGACCCTGAACCTGGGCTCCAAAGTGGGAAGTGATCCCCCCTTGAGGAGGGACCAGTGTGAGCCCAGCTCCCAGACCCACATAAACTGCAGGTACAGTGAGAAATAAGAGCCAGCAGGGGCCCTGGGCAGGTGGGGGAGGCCGAGCCAGCAGGTGCAACGAGAAAGGATGCCGCCCAGGTGCACTCGGGGGGCCTGGGACTTTTCTGACCAATGTTTCCCCGCATTGGAGCCACACGGGAAGTAAAGTGGGCAGAAGAGCTCCCGGCGAGCAAGGCACCTGAATAAAGCAGCACCAGGACTGCCAATGCCTCTGATAGGAGACGGAGGAGCGTCTTGTCTGCCACAAGTGCGGCCTCCTCTGGGAAACCATCCTCTCCAAGTTATCTTTGCCTGGACTTAGCCCGGACAGTGGGGAAACTGAGGCCTCGATAAGCTAAGCTCAGGAAGCTAGGGTGCTGGGACTGTCCTCTCCCTGGTACAGTGGGAGAGACGGTCCGAGCGATGGGGAGGGGCCCCAAGGCCAGGTGCAGGGCCCAGGTGGGCCAGGAGGCGGTGGGAGGCAGGTGGCCCTGGGAGCACGGGGGACGTGGGGGGACTTGTCACTAAAGGAATAGCAGGGATGGCAGCCTTCGTGGGCTGGTGGGAGAGAATTCGAGAAGGCTCGGGAATGGATTCGTAAATGAGGGGCACCGAGCAGCATGAGGCCCCTGGAGAGAAATCTAGAGAGAAGGGAGATGCTGAGAGAAGGGGCCTGGTCCTGGGGAAATTGCCCTGGGCCAGAGCCCCTTCCACCCCGGACGCCAGCCCTGAGGACGTCCGGGTCATGGCAGCTGAACAGGAGGGGGATCTGTGATCCCTGGGGGTCCCTTTACTCCAGGAACTTTCACTCCACGGGGCCACTTCCCAGCCTACCTGACTCCTGGGTCTGCAGGGACGCAGCCGGCTTCCCAAAGCCCCGGTGGGGGGAAGCCTTTCCGATGGGGCGAGCAGGAGGCGGCAGGCAGGCTCGGTAGAAACCTGTGGGGTCCCTCCTGGGAAAGCCCGTGGATAGAGAGGCAGAGCAATGTGAAGAGCTCAGACCTGTGGCCTGACAGCGCAGGGAGCCCGTCCCGGCTGTTCCCTCCCTGTGTGAAGCCGCTGGCCCCACACGTTCCGTGAGCAAAGCGGTCAGGCTTCGGGAGCAGGCCCAGCCCCGCTCCTGCTCCTGGGCACTCGGGGAGGCCGGGGTTGGCGGGAATGGCTGCGTTTGCTGAGGTCCTTGCGGGGAGGGAAGGAGACGGACAGCTGAGGATCTGCCCCGGAGGCTGCGAGTCCAGGTCCAGCTCTGCCTCTGTCATCAAAACCCCACTCACACCACCCACCAGCGGGGCTGACCTGCTGGCCGGGGAAGAGAAGGGGCTGCCCGTTTAGCTTAATAAGAGCCAGGTGGTCGGAGCTTGACCATCACTAACTAAAACACAATTATGCTAAAAAGCACTATAACGTGTTCTTAATAAAAAAAAAAAAACTTTGATAATAGT